ATCCTTCATATAAAAAGTACCTTAAGGTAAATGTGCTTGACCATTTTTAAATTTTACATTTAAAATTGTGACGGTAGAGACTGAAAGACATAGCTTGTACCTGCCGTCTTGCTCCCTGCGTACTTCAGTGCTGGGGCAGGCCAGGTACTGCACTATGGGATGCCGACATCATAACTGGTATGCAAGTAGAATTTGAGGCCAGGCATTGCGTTTGATACTTGGCTTAGAGTCAAAACTCCAGCTTCCTACTAAGGCAAATAATTGGGTGCCCACCACCCACATGGGAGGCTTGGATTGAGTTGCTGGCTCTGTGTCCACTCTGGCCCAGTTCTGGCCATTGGAGGAATGAAGCAATGAATAAGAGCATTCTTATTCTCCCTCTCTCATATTCTGCCTGGGTCTCCCGAGTGGGTGGCAGGAGCCCAAACATTTGAGCTCTCATCGACTTCTCCCAGAATTAACAGGAAGCTGGGTCAGAAGCAGAGATGCCAGGGTTTGAACAGGCAATATGACAGGATGAGGGCATTTTAGGAGGTGGGTTAATCTGTGACTGACTTGCTTAACTTTGTCAGAATTGCCCATTCCATTATTTATTGATGAGTATTTGTACAGCTTTAGATTGGAGTTATTACGTATAATAATAAAGTGAAGAATTTTGTACTTACCTTCCAGAATTTGAGTTCCTGATAGGTTACTGTGAAACATTTATCAGTTAATCAAAACAATTTATATAAAGTGTTAGTAATCCGAGTTTTACTGCTTGCTTCTGTTTCTCAAGTCGAAGTCAGTAGCAGTGAATTTTGTCCTCACAGATAAAATCAACCCTTTGCAACTTGAAAATATTTTATGTTTTGTTGGAGTGTGTGTGTGTTTCAGTTCTACTGCTAGTCTTAATCTTGGAATGTGGCATTAAAATAGAAAATGGCATGGTCTGAGTTTTGCTTTTAAAAAAAGAAAGGGTAGAGAAAATGAGGAGGAGAAAAAACAGAATGGGGAAAGGAATCAGTAATGGGAGAGGGGGAGAGCACTACAGCCAGCATGGCATGACCAGGGTTGGAGAGGAAGACAGCGTGCAACTGAGCAAATTTTAAATGAGACACTCAGGATGAAGATTACACACACAGGCAGCCAGAGGGAAGCCCCCTTCCACGAAGGACTTCAACCTAAAAGGCTTGCTGCCTCAATCTTTATTGAGCTCCTTAGGGAGTCAAATTGCAGGAATTGAAGTGGCACACACGTTGATTGATGACTATGTCCACATTGATGCTCACCGGCCAAAATTTGATCAGGCAGCAACAATGTGACCCAATACAGAAGTCAGTATGTGACTGTCTCAGGATATCCTTAAAGTGTGCAATTCTGTGGCCCTGGACCGTCGCCCAGCTGCAGACATTTTCCACAGAGTGACCACCATCTCTGGCACCAGCAGTCTGAACTCCAGATTCCAGGCACAGACTTCCCACCCATATCAAGTCACACTTTTTGCAAACTGCCTGCAGCAAGAGAGAAAAAGGAAAGAGGAAGGATCAATGGATGGGGAGAGGTAAGAAAGTGAGAGGAGATTGGCATAGAGGAAAGCAGAAGGGTTAGAAGGGAAAGGAGAGAGAAGTAGAGACGGAGAAGGAGCAAGAGGAGAGGCAGAGAGAAGGAGGGAGGGTTAGAAGGAAAAGGAGATGGGGAGAGGAGGTGGGAGTTGGAGTGTAGTTTCCACTAAGGCCTCACTGCAGACCCACTGCAGACACTGCAGTGTCCCCTTTATCGCCAACCTGCTGAGATCCCTTCCCTGCCTTCAGCCTTGACCGAGGGGTGCAGCCTTACCGGTTCATGTGTAGTTGGGGAGTTTGCTGCTGTTTGTGGTGTTCTTTTTCCACCAATATTGCCCCTAAGTCTCCAGCTGCTCAGGCAGGTTCTGGCCACGGCATTCCAGTGAGAGCAGGCTGTGGATTTTTGCCCGAGTTTTCCTTCTGCTGGCTGCCTGGGCTGGAGAATACCTTTTAGGAGGGGAAACAAAACTATAAATTTAGATATGATCGAATGTGGTTCTTTTTTTCCCCCAGACATTGAAGTGGCTTCAACTTTGCATAGCTAGTTTTTGGCCCTTTAAAACTTTTTGCTTTTCCAGGCTTTATAACTAGTACTCATGTAACTGTTAGGCTGATAAACAATTCTGTTATTACTTCAATTAGAACCCTAGTAACTGAGAATTGATCAAATAGAATCTAAAAATAAAAGCACAAATTATAATTTTGTGAAAAGTGGAACAATGTAGGGTATGAAAAGACTTGATGAAAAAATTGTTCATGGTATAGGATGCTGGAAGGCAGGGATGGACTTTCACATGTGCGGATAGTAAGACTCCCAAGTGGAAGGAACAAGAGCAAGTCAGTGTCTAGGAAAGTACAAATTGCATTTGCTAGCTATTCTGATTCGACTGTTTGGTTATTTACCTAAAAGAAGACTGGAGGAGGTAGTTGAGTTTGAGATACTGCTTGAGGTCCTCACATCCAGTGTTGAAGTGCCTCGATCCAAGTTCCCTCCCCACTCCACCTACCTGCTAGAGTGCACCCTGCGAGGCAGCAGGTGGTGGCACAAGTAATCAGGTCCATTGAGTTTCTAACTTCTGGCTTTGATTTGACAGTTGCAGTTACATAGAAATGGATCCAACAGATTGAAGGCTTTGGCTCTCCTTCACTGTGTGTCTCTGCTTTAATTTTTTTAAGACGGGAAACAAGTTTTTGAGTTGGGCAATGAGTTCAGAAACTGCTTCAAGAAAAATTGACAGCTTGAAGAATAGATTCAAGAAAGGAGGCAGAAAGATTATAGGCAGGATATTACAGTAGTTCGGGAAAGAAAAGGAGTGAACTGGGGAGTGGCAAGTTTCCTGGGAAAGCTATAAAATATAGGAGGTTAAGAATGAAAGGGTGACAGGGTAGTAGTAGCTGGAAGAATGCTGGCTTACTGATGGAAGCTGCTATAGTTTATGTATCTGCATAAATAGGGTGATATTAAAGGCTATAGCTCCTTTTCACTCTAAGTCACCATCCTGTCAGCAGATTACTGGATTATGTTCATGTTGACACGTGTGTCACTGAACATGTCTAGCTTACAGAACACTTAACCCTGTCTCCCCTCACTGATATTGGGATGATGGAAGAATGTGCTTATTGCAAAGTATAGAGAAAGGAGCCAGATGGCTATTGCTCAATTCCCAGGCTCCCTTGGATGTTATAGGTGAAAGCTTTTACAGGTTAAATTGGAGCCGAGAGGACTATTCCGCTCTTGTCTGAGTTGCTGACTGTTCAGTGATGTAGCCTTCCCTTGTTTGAGCAGTTATGCCATGCTCCTCAGGGGGTTTTTATGCTGCAGGTGAGCCTAGTTGTCCTGACATGTTACAGTAAGTGCTGGTTACATTCTGCCCCAGACCAAGAATTTCCCTACACAGAACACCTCAGGATGGCTTTGGCCAGTAGAATTTTATCTGTTAGAGGGGAGAGTAATTCACTGCGTCCTGCTATTAGAATCTTACAACGCCAGCTGTACCCCTCCCTCAATTCAGTAGACTGCTTTTGATAAAGGACAAACAAGGACATACTGGGCTAAGAGAAACAGGTGAGAGGCTGGTGCTGCTTTTACACTTATCTCAGTATAGTTCATTCAGCTATCATTTCAGAAACCATATTTGTATGTTTTGAAAAAGGCCAATGTATAATTGTCATTTGTTAATCACTATTAACACAGCCAGCAATCTAGAACTGTTTGGTTTACAAAGTGGTTAGTAGTAAGAATACATAAAATTTTGAGGTTGCAGTGAAATCCCCATTAATTGCAAGTATGGATGACCAGAACTATAGCAGTAGTACTTGTTGAGTTTTTGAGGCAGTGAGAGCTATTCCTCATGTTATATGAATAGAAAAGAATACATATCTTTCTACCATTGAAATTACTTCCTGAATTTCCTCACCAACAGAATTTCAGAGTGCATTGCTTCTATTGACAGCTAGAAGATTCACATTAAACATTCCTAGTAAATAGTTTTATAAACAAAAATAAGACTTTGTAAAGTCCAAAGATTTTGGAACATAATACTGTCCAGACTTGAAAAATTAGTTCTTGAAAATACGTAACTGGAGTTTCACATTTTTTAGTGATTTTTCTGCTTATTGTTGTTGATGATTCATTAAACTATCTTTTTAATGGATGATAATAAAGTTCCTTCTTACCTCACTATTGCATTATGTCATGATAAATCTATAGAAGTTGAAAATTTGTCAAAAAAAAAAAACAACTAACCTACCAAACACCACAGTTTAGCTAACAGATTGTGTAGGGTATTATTGGTGTTTACTCAGGCTTACGTGGCTTACTGTGGTTCCCTGTGGCCGCTCAGCATTGCATAGGAGCACTGTTGTTAACCTGAGAAAAGGTCAAAATCCAATCATGGTTTCTACTGCCCACACATCACTTCTACATCATTGTGAGATCAAGTTCCGCCATAAGTTGGCAGCCATCTGTATGGCCATTGAAGTTACAAGATCACTTGGAGAATTTTTTGTTTTACACCTCATTCTTGTGTTTCTTTGGAACTGATTAAAAATATTTTATTGAATTCCTAATGTGCAGGGATTGGTTCATTGGTTAAGTCATTACTTGAGATGGCCACATCCTATTTCAATTAAGTCCTGGCTACTTTGCTTCCTGTCCAACTTCCTACTAATGGGCACCCTGGAAGGCAGCAGATGATGGCTCCTTTGGGTCCCTGCCATTATTCTGTGATACTTGGGTGGAGTTATGGGGTTGATGCCAATCAGCCTGGGCACTGGTTGGCATTTGGGGACTAAGCCAGCAGATGAAGTATTTGTTTTCCAGTTTACTTTCAAATAAAATGAGAAAATGTTCAGCCAGATTAGCTGAGTATCTTTGAAGCTGGAAATCTCCTGAAGTTTAATACCAAAGAAAAAAGATATGGCAGTGATTTTATTTTCTAAACATCTTTTGTACAGGGCCGATCCCTTGTCCAACATGGTGCTAACCTTCAGTACTAAAGAAGATGCAGTTGCATTTGCGGAAAAAAACGGTACGTTTAGTGGTCTATTTTGCTTTTAACAAAGTCAACGTAGGATTTCACCTTAACCTTAACCTAATGTGACTCAAGAATATAGAATTTCTGTTAGAAGTTTTCAATAAATCCAATCCAGTGATTGTTAACTTTTAATTTTCAGAATATTCACCTTCCAAAGAGAGCAGTGTAAAATGGGACGCTTATGTCATACAAAAAAAGCACTATTCTCATTTGAAAAGCAAGGAGTAAAACTCCTTAACAAATTTCTTATTAATGCCCCTCAAATTTGACATAGTTATTTAACTTCTTACCAAACCTAGCATAAAGTATTTGTTTTGACACGTTTATAAGCTCTTTTCCATTTTGAGCCAAAATGTGATATCTATTGAAAATAATTATAAACCCTCTAGCATTTCCTTTAAGCCTAATTATCTGCCTTTCTAGATAGGATTATACTTGATATTAGGTCTACTCATAACTATATGATTACATTAATGCAGCCTAAGTGTACTTTAAATTCCCTTTCCCACAAACTTTTAAAAAGCTGAGCATAGGGGCCTTGTGCAATGGCTCAGTGGCTAAATCCTCACCTTGCAAGCACCAGGATTCCAGATGGGTGCTGGTACCTGTCCCATCCAGTTCCCTGCTTGTGCCTGGGAAAACAGTCGAGGATGGGCCAAGTCATTGGAATCCTGCATCTCCATGGGAGACCTAGAGGCGGCTTCTGGCTTTCAGTCTGCTCAGCTCTGGTCGTTGCGGCCTCTGTGGGAATGGATGGAAGATCTTTCCGTGTCTGCTCTTCTATATAGCTCTGCATTTCCAGTAAAATAAATCTTAAATAATTAAACGGCTTTTTTTGGTACAGATAACACTAATAGATTTCAAAGATTTCAAAATTTTTCAATTTTATCTTGCCACAAATTTCTTCAATACTCTCACTTTTGGAATAGCCTCCTGTCGTTGGTCTGTGTTGATTTACTGTTTTTTTTTGTTGTTATTGTTGTTTGTTTGTAGTCATTTTATTTTGATAATCTTTACTTGGTTGATTAGGGCACAAAGAGTCAAGGGCTACAGAAAATGGGTAGATTTACTGTTAATACAAATGCAAAGTTCTTTTCATCTCATTCACCATTATTAAGCCAACATATAGCACTGAAAAGGGTTCTGAATTGTAGTCCTCACTATACCATTTGGAAGCTATAGTACTTTGAAATTAATCTCGTAATGGACTTAACTTCCCTTATTTCATTTAAAAAGGCTTAGAGAAGAAGAACTAGAGAGGAAGAAATAGAGATCTTCCTTTGCTGGTTAAACCCCACCAGTGGCTACCACAGCCAGATCTGGGCTGGCCCAAAGCCTTCATGAACCAGGAGCTTCTTCTGGGTCTCCCAGATGGGTACAAGAGCTGCTTCCCTAGGTGCATGAGCAGGAAACTAGATCAAAAGTGGAGCACCTTCGACTAGGACTGGTGCTCATATGGCATGCTGGCATTGCAGTCAGTAGCTTTACTTGCTGTGCCAGTGTGCTCCACACACACCTTTAAGATTTATATGCCTTTATTTCAACTGTTAACATCTCATAAAATGGGAATACTTGGTATAACACCTTACTAGTCTATTACTTTGAAAATTCACATCCCACCACCTGGTATTGCTGTTAGTTATCTTCCTGAGACTTATCTCCCTGGTATTGCTGTTACTTATCGCCCTTATCCATATTACTGAGTTCTGTTTCACGGTACATGTTAGGAATTTTCCCAGATGTAATGCAGAAATAAGTATTCAAATCCAGCTGTTCAAATGAATTCTACTTTATCTATTTGAACGATGCAGTTAACTTTGGTTTGGCTTAAGTACAGTAGGAGATTAGTATTGTCTATAATATTTGACTAAATGTGAAAGCACTACTAAAATTGCTATTTCCCACCTCCTTGTCCCCATACATTTGCAGTTAAAAGTCAGAAGCCAAACTGCATGGGCTTGAATCAAGTGATTAAAAATGACTACACAGTGTCTTCTATGAGAAATGTATATATGAAAAAGCTATGCATGGGTTTTGACTTTTTGCAAAAGCTGTAGTACTTTCTGAAAAGAATCTAGTTTGAGTATGCATAGTCAAGGCAGGGACTGTTAAGAGGTAGATGTAAGCCAGTCAAGAGCAAAAATTTGGGGGGCAGGGAGATGCTCAAGCTCAAGGCACTTTGCTTGTTGACTTGAGAGAACAAAAGGATGACAATATCTGCTCTTTAGGAGAGTGTTTTGAGAAAGTCAGCCAGAGCTTAACAGAAACGTGCCTGTATGAAGTTCACCAGCATGACCTTCTCTGCTAGGACAGTATTCAGTCCTCTCCTCAATCAAGGGCAACTTCTGTGGCAGTTTCAGGAGTGAGTCTTCAGGCATCTCCTTCACAGGCCTGACTGGGAAACAAGTCACAGGAGTCCAATCTTTCCAAAATAGTAAGTGGCACCAGTTTATGTTCAGTTAACAACTACTGCATTGACAGGATTAATTTCCCAGGACTCTCAATTCCATAGTGATAGACTAAATTGCTAGTAGAAAAATATCTTGAACTTGTTTATGCCTGTGCTAAGAAATAAAGCTTATTTTAAAATTTTAATTGATTTGAAAGGCAGGACAAAGAGGGAGGTAATACCTTCCATCCCACTGCCTCACTCCCTAAATGCTAACAGCCAGAGCTAGAGCAGGGGGAAGCCAGGAGCCCTCATTGCCATCCAGCCTCCTTTGTGGATAGCAGGAACTTACCCATTTGAGCCATCACCTGTTGCCTTACAGAATCTCATCAGTATTGGGAACAAGAATAGCAGGAACTTGGGTGAGACATAATGATACAGAATTCGGCAGTTCTAAGGGACATCTTAATCCACAAGACCACCCCCCTTTTTAATTTTAAATTCCATTTTTCCATGACATCTAAAAGTCATCTCATACTACTAATGAGAATTGGTCTGAGGATTAAATGTTAATAAAATGGAAGTTAATAAAAAGGAAGTATATACTATCATAATGTAACATGTTATTAATAATAAATTTTGAAAGTTTTTGGTAAAAAGCCTAAGTACAATTGCTTATTAACACTTCATTGACAGGTTCCAAATCTATGTCATATAATTATGCTCAAAGCAGTTTTCAAAATATTTTGATTTAGTAATCAAAAGTTACTTAAAATAATTTTTGAACTGTTATCAAAAATAGTTCTAATTTTGTATCTTTTCAGCTACTGTATTTCATGTCTGACACTTTGAAAATTATTCATTTGATGTCTGTAACTTGAGTTTAATAACAGGAAATCTAATTAAAGCGCTAGATCCTTGGTTAGTCTCTGAGTAGTCAGAAGGATTGCATGACTGCAGTTGCCATGTGAGTTGCAGGGTGTGAACTAGCCACTGCTACCATTGAAATCTGTTGCCTCTCCAGTGTCTCCGCCTCCCCAGGAAACAAAATTGAGAAACATCAAAGTTCATAATATAGAAGAAACTTATTTAGTCACTGGTTCTCTGGGTATCTAGCACAAAACTTGATCTGAATTGGATACTCTTTTTTTTTTCTAAAATAAAATTGGCTGCTCAGGAATTTGAAGTCACTGCTGTCCTGGTGAATTCCTCAGTAATTCCATTCCTCTGCCTTTCAAATACATGGAAATTTATAAATTAAAAGATAAACTGTTACTATCATTTCAGCTGATATAGAAGGTTGTATTATAGACAGTAAAATGAGGAGTTAAGATTCTTGGATTCAGTTGTTTTCTAGCAAACATTTAATGCCTGCTAACTGTATTTTAAGAATCCGTGACTCTTCCTGTGAAACTCCAGGCTAATCTTGAGAAACAATTTCATGTATATTACCTTTTCCCCTCTACCATTCCTACTGGATCAACTGTTTTAGCCTCCACAGTAATTGTGTAGATCAGATAATACACATCAGTATCGTTACTGCAAGTTACACTCAAACGCTATCATGTGATAGGTCCTACACTAGGTGCTTTTCATTCATTCTCATTTAATCCTCCTTGCAACTAGATAAAGCAAGAACAGTTTTTATCCCCATTTTATAGTTCAAGGACACTGGTGTTCAGAGACATGAGGTAACATTAGGTAACAAGTTCATATACTGTAGTTTTTAAAAATTCATCTAATGAAATTTTTAAAAATTCATTTATACATTGTCTATAATAGCTTTTCAGCTACAATAGAATTGAGTAGTTGTAAAAACTTGAAAACAGTGACCCCTCAGCTCTTTATAGAAAATGTTAGCTTACCTCAAATACCCTTTATGTACGTATTTTCAGTAGTCCATGCTTAGTAGGCAAATTCCTTAACTGATAATTGAGTCATGCACAATGTAAGGACTGTTAGCCAAGTTCTAACCCTACCTTTACCTAGCTATGCCCCAACTCTTCTTTGATGCCATGCTTGCTGTATCTTTCATCTACTGCCTCCCTCAGGCTCCTTTCTCATTTTTTCCCCTACTGTCAAACTCAATTCATCTTGAGAAACAGTACATTCCTTTCTTTCCTTATCCCTTATTTTCCTTCCACTCCCACTAAACAAACTGTTCTTTTTAACTTCATAGTAAATTCATCCTGTTTCTTAACAGGAGAAAAGACATGCAAATTTATTACATGCATGTGCACAAACAAGAGAAAAGGTCTAAATGAGGGCCAGGCAGTTCAAGTTCATGTGGCATCCCAAGCTACAGAAAGGAGCACAGGCTTTGGAGTTTTGGAGAGAAGATGATGAAGGGTCTGGGGAAGGAGGCTTTTGGTTCATTTGCTCCTAAAAGCAGCTGTGGCCATGTCTCTGGCCGAGGTCTTTCCAGCTTTACTCTCCCCTTCCTGATACTGAGATCTTGTGTAATAAAATAAGCCCAAGCCCAGATCTTAGAACCCAGCTCTTGGCACCCAAGTTTCTGGATTTTATGACTGAAACTTCTGGGATGCTCTGATGTTGGCAGATTTAAAAAAGTAATCTATTTCTACACGAACAGGGTGGCTACTAG